ATACTCTGTCTATTTATGCAATTTTTAATATAGGTTCTCATTTGAAAAACCAAAGTTGATTTCGTCACAGGATACACCTTAAATATTGTGCAAAATCCGAGTACTCGAAAATATCAGCTTGAACTATACTTAAAAATTCTAATAATATGAATTTGAATGTATTCAAAATTTAACCAAAAACATGGGACGAACACGCTTAGTGAATCACTCTGTACATAATGTATGTACGCAATTTCAAAATATAGAAATTAGTAGAATGATATATGTAAAAATGTAAGCGTACCAGGTGATTCATTAATGTGGGTACACTCATTATCTCGGAAAGTATTAACTTTTTTCGGAATTTGTTTTCTAAAACATTTAATAAACGAGCTGCTCTACAATTTTATATTTATGTTATTTTTTTCACCCTTAGTTTTGTGGGTAAAACCACTACCTACTTTTGATTTTCAAATGGCAACCTATATTAAATTTCCATAAATGATGGAGTATTAGTTAAAATAAATTTGAGTGTTGAAATGTTTTATTTCTGTCAAGCCGTTGACGAGATAGTCCACATTTAAATTTAGGTTGGAGGAGAGTAGTGGTAAAAAAATACTGTGATATGGTATTATAAAAATTGTCAGGTTAAAATATTTATAAATTTAACACGGAGTTACAAAAAAAAAATAAAATATATAATTGGGAAAGTGGAACACATATAGTTATTTAATTTATACCATTGCGATAAATCATTGCTAACGAAAAACGATTCAGAGCGAAGTTCAGTTAACATGTTTTGAAAAGCCGTAATAGTTACGATTTTCGTCAAAATTTCATTTTAAAACTATTATATTTTTTTTTTTTTTTTTATATCACTGTACTTAGTGATAAAAAAAATTTATTGATTTATAATGAAACTTCTGTCAAAATTTTCAAACATTTTTGTTAAGTCTAACAATAACTTTTCATAATTTGTTATAGTAAATATCAGCTAACTAATAATACTGGGTTACCAATTATATTAAAAATTCAACGAAAAAGATCTTTTGCTAAGACATGTGTATTTTTTTTATTATTAAATTTGTTGTTCTGTGTCTGTGAACAACTATTCTACCAAAATACTTGCTCCGAAGTATAAGACTGTAGCACCTATTCTGAAAGGTAATTTCTCTAATCGGTGCATTAGGCGGGTCATTTTTCCAAAGGGTTTTCATAATAAATGAGAAAAACCAGAAAGAAAATAATAGATAAAATGGCAAATATTTACTGCACGCTGCGGCGTTACAGGTTTCATTGTTTTTATTATGTTTACACGTTTATTGTGTTTTTTACGATAAATATTACTTCAATCCAAAAGTGACAAGATATCGATTTTGTTATCTCGCTATTGACAGAGTTGTTTTTCGATATAAAAAAATTAATAATATTTATGGCGATATATGGCGTCCCGGTTTTATTATTTTAATATGTTCTACTTGTGTTTTCTTCCAGATTAACTGTTTTGTATTTTTAATCTAGTTCATGAATTTGTTTTTTGATTTTCTCTGTATTTGTATTAATAATTAGAAAAAACGTAAAATTAAAAAGTAATTTTTTGATATCTATAAAGTCATTTTCAAATCAAAACATTAAAAAAAACGAATTGTACGATTTTTTTCGAACTACCTACGACCCAATTTTCATTTATATTCATTAATTTATGTTGTTTATTTATTGTTACTGTTTTCATTAATATACATTTTACGGCTTATGTTTTCTACTATAAATAATTGAAAACAATTCTGTTTTATTGTTTTAAATTTTGTCTTTAGATTTTAAGTTTAGCGAAGAATGTATTGGTTTTACAAAGATGGTTTTTTTTTTTTTTTATATTATGTACACAAATTCTACCAGAAATTTTGTTCCGAAGTATCAAATATAGTACCTTTTCTGAAAGGTAAATTTCTTAGAGTGGTGCTTTACGAAGGTCATTTTTTATTTTTCCGAATAAATAGGAAAAACCGGGAAAAAGCAGTGAAATAGATACAGTATTAATCAAAGAAAATATATAATGCATATGCAATTATTTTACCATAATGTCACATAATATATATTGTATTGTTGACAAAGTAACACTATCAACCGAACTCGATTCAGAATCGTTTTTCGTTATCAATGGTTTATCGTTGATTACAGATATAAATTAAATAACTTTATGCATCCCACTTTTCCCACTATCCATTTAAAACAGTGGCCGCACCCGTCGCCAGTATCAGCTTTTTTTTAATATTGTAGCAATATGTCTGATAGAAAACGGAAAGCGTAAACATTTTAAATAATGAAATCGTAACATCATAAATTTGTGAAGTTTCAAGAGGAAAGTAAGTAGACCACTATTTATATATTACTGGTAGAAAACTTAAGTTACCAAAATATAAAATCATGAAATCTTTATGCCGTAAATATTTGTCTGCTTACCCCTACGTTTCTCCTGGTTTCCCCCAATTATTATGAAAACCCCTTGGTAAATCAAAAAACGACTATCTTAAAATACCAAGTAGATAAAATTTTCTTTCAAAAAAACCACTATACTTGAAATCGGAGCAAGATTTCTGGTAGAAAAGTTGTTCATGGATAGAAATAAAAATAAATATCATAATAAAACCAAGAATTTTCGCTCAGAATCGAAAATGAGACATTTTTAAATACGCCAATACCACAATTAAGTTTCTAATGTGTTTTTAGTCCTAGGTCTTAAAAATTGGGAAGAAAAATGTAATTTTAAATTAATTTTAATTCAGTAATTTAAAATTAAGTTATAGTTAAAAATATGTAAATGTTTGACTAAATAAACTTTGTTTTTTACTATAAATATATAAATACAAATAAATATTTTTAGACAACTTTGATTGGTTATTATTTTATGATTTTTGACAAATTTATTCATGATTAGTAAATGTACACCCCACACGTAATTCGGACCCACCTTTATAAGAGCTGGCATGCAATTCGGATTGACTCTATATTCTTTAAGATAATATACAATTCGGAAGTTTCAATTTATGTTTATTTTTTTGGCATGCAATTTGGGTATACCGATTTTTGCTAACCAATAAAAAGTTTACCGAGAAGAATACTTATTATAAAGATGGCACCCCGAATCCATAAGTAGTAAAAATTCAACTCACCCACGACGGTCGGTTCAAGGTCAACAAAAACGGCTCTGGGCACGTGCTTGCCGGCTCCAGTCTCGCTGAAAAAAGTGTTGAAACTATCGTCTCCACAGTCGGCCGACTTGTTAGTTGGCATCTGCCCGTCAGGTTGAATACCGTGTTCCAGACAATAAAGTTCCCAGCAGGCATTGCCGATCTGGACTCCGGCCTGGCCGATGTGCACGGAGATACATTCACGCTGTATATAATAAAGGTATATGTATATATATATATATAGGTACCTATAGATGTCCAATAAAAGCGCAATGGATGGAAAAATAGTGATGGTACATTTCGAGAAGATAATCAATTGTTAAATATATCTTTACAAGTTTATTTATTTCGTGAAAGGCGTAGGTGCTTACCATGTTTTTAGTGAAGTTTGAAAATTATTCGTCAAAGAAAAATGTTAAGCGGATTAACTTAATATGACAAGACAAGTATAGTGCACAGAAGTCAAAAAAGTTTTTTATGAAAATAAATTGAAACACAAATGTGACTAAAAATGTGTGGTCGACAGGGAAACGCTACGTAGGTTAAGATTATTGAATCGGTGAACGGCGAAAAATAATAACAGCCGATATAGTTTTAAAGCCAATTTCTTATAATTATAGATTTATAGGACGCCAATTAAATTTTATATTTTTAGTGTGGCGAATAATATATTAGTTTACTAAGATGTTAATTTTCTTCTCTTTTTCTTTTTTTATCCTGTGTATAAATATTCTACCAAAAATCTTGCTCAGACATATACATGCGATACCATTTTCGAAAGGGATGTTGTTCAGATGGTACTTTTGGGAGGTCATTTATTGATATTCCAAGCGGTTTTCGTAATATCTAGGGAAAACCAGGATAAAACGTAAGAAAAACTGGAAATTTACAAAAATAATATTTTTAATAATTTTCAATTCTATTTGGTGTTTTAATTCAGTTAAAAATATTCACGAAAACTTGAAATTTAGGCAAAAAACTTATATTTGCCTTCTCTAAACATGGACAAATTATCGAAACATTTTTAAGCTTTTTATAAACATTTTAATATTTTTGTTGGAAATTAGTTAAAAATATTTGTATCAACTCCGTGAAATTAAAATATCGCTTATAAATATCGTTTATATTTGGTATATAAGTAATTATTAAAAAGACGTCTTAGGATAATGGAGACGCGTGCAGCTACTGTTATAGGTTAACCGTTGTTAACGAAAAAACGATTCTGAGCGGAGTTCAGTTGATAGTAATGCTTTGTCGACAATATGCATGTCATATTATAGTAAAATAATTAAACAACTTTAAATAATTTCTTTAATAATATTTGTATAATGTTGTACCGATTTTTCCGGTTTTCTTACATTTTTCTCTATTTTTCCATGTTTTTTCCCGGTTTTTCACATTTTTTGGAAAAACTTTTAGGAAAATTGAAAAATGACTTTCCTAAAGTACCTCCCCAGTCGAATTTCCTTTTGGAAAAAAACAAATAGTGCATGGAATCTACGTGACTATATTATGATATAATAAGTTATATTATGAGAACACTAGAACAGGTAGTTTATTTCCGAACTTTTCTAATCATTGTCGAAATATATTATACTTACGCGCCACCTGACGGTTCTTTGGTGTTTGGTGGGAAGCGTTTGTACTTCGTAGATATCTTCGAAACCACGAGATTTTTTTCTTATCTTGTCAACTATTGCTCATTTATTTGGGAAAAATCCGATTGTTTGTTGGTATGTCGATCATTTATAAATTATGATGTATCTACGTACTCCGTGTATTTACGGACATGATAGAAGAAAAGAAGCTAAGGGCCCGGGCAGTGATTGCTGCCTAGCTGCTTTGACCAGGTCGATACTGCAAATATGCTAAAATAAAAAAAAAAAAATGTCTATTTAGCGTCTGCTGTACTACATTATGAATAGTTTACTTATAATCTACATAATACAGAGTGTGTCGTTTATAATTACAATACCACCTCTAAAACAATAAAACTTTATACATTAATATTTAAAACCTCTAATATCTCCTTAAGTTCATGAAAACATGTTCGAAGACTTGCCTTTATCATAATGTCCGCAATCTGCTGTTTACTAGGTATGTACTCCAAATAAAACAATCCGTAATTTAATTTTTCTTATATATAGTAATAGCGAATATCAATATGCTTAGTTCTTCTATGAAACCCTGGATTTTTCACTCCATAAATTGTTTGCATCATTCTCGGTTAAGCGAGTAATTCACCTAAAAACAATTTTAACCAAATTAATTCTTGTATTGCTTGACTTATAGTCATGTACTCTGAATCAGTTGTACCAAGTCTAATACATTGTTTATGACGTGAACTTCATGTTATACTTCCAAATACTAATATAAATACTGACTCTTATGCTGACCTTCGTGTATCCAAGTCACCTGCATAGTCAGCATCATTGTATCCATTTAACAAAAATGTTTGTCTAGAACTAAATAATAATCCAAAATTAATAGTTCCTTTTAAATATTTTGAAATTCGTTTTACTGCTGTCCAGTGTTTTTTTGGATCTTCGACGTATCTAACTAGATTCACTGAAAAAGTTATACGTCTGGTCTTGTTATCTGATTGAGATATAAAAAGCTTCAAACGGTTTCACGATATGGTACTTTACTGGTTAAGTTAGGAATTTGTTTCTTGTCATCTAATGAATGTTGAGGGTCTGCTGGTTTTTGAATTGAATTTGCTTTAGTTATATTAAACTTCTCCAATATTATTTTACAATACAACCATTGGTGCATTACAAATGATCTATCGGATTTTTGCTCAATTTCTGTTCCCAAAAATTGTTTTAATTCTCCTTTTGTAATGTTAAAATGTTGTTTCAGATAGTTTATCAAAATATTCACATCCTCATTTGATGTGGCTGCAACTAGTCCACCATTAACGAATATAGGAACAATTAATATATTATTATTTTCTCTATTTATAAAAACACAAGAATCAGCTTTTGTTTCTAATAGATTTAATAATTAATAACTAATAGATAAAATTTAGAAGAAATATTTTGAACTTTGTATCCCAAGACTGTGGTGACTGCTTTAAACCATATAAACTGCGATGAAGTCTGCATAATTTTTCTGTGCTCTCGTTTAATCCATTCGATGCCTCGTGTAAATTTCTTCGTCCAAATATTAATATAAAAAAGCTGTTGGGACGTCAAACTATCTAAGTTGTAGTTGTTCTATTGCTGATTAAGCTGATTTGGATCAAATTGAAACAAACTTCACTACAGGATTAAATGTTTCATTGAAATCAATACCGAATATTTGGCTATATTCGTTTGCAATTAGCCTAACTTTATATCGATCAATATGTCCATGACTTTTGTTTGTCGTTTTATACACATGTTCTTAAACTTAAATACAGGTAACTTATAACCGAAGTCAGAGATATTGAACATGGTGATTTTGTATAAGTATAATTTATTGTGAAACATATTCAAACACTTTTAATTTAATATTTCAAAAAACACACTCGAAGCTACGTACCGAAAGTCACAAGTAGAAAATTCCACTGATAACAGAACGTTGGAGATCTCAGCCAGGCCAATATTTTTCGATAGTGAAATAGAAGACCTCGTAGATGAAAAATTTGCTAAATTATTATCCAAAAAAGGCGCACATCAAAGATGGGGTAGGAGTTTCTTGCTACAGTCGATAAACAGATTGTTATTAGGTGTATACAATTATATTCTATTTAGTGCATCGTTGTTACATCCAATAACCTGACGGTGAGT